CATTTGTAAATGACTATTTTTATGTTAAAGGAGCCATCCTTGTGCCACGGGCACATGGTCATAGACAGAAGTGGAAGGTGGTGTCTTTCCCAGACTACCTTGAGCATCACTTTTCTTTGAAAGCACTGAATCCCTGGAAAGGAGAAGGTCACATAGGAACAAGATGCAAAGCCATGCAGTGATTTCTGTTTCTCCTGCTTGTGAGTATGCATGGTGGTGTAAGTTTGAGCTTCCTCATGCTAATAAGCGCTGCTTGCACTCTGTGTGTGCTCCGTTACATGCCTGAGGAGTTCCTTGCTGCCTGCAGGGCTCTGGGCACTGGAGGTGCTCAGAGGAGCAGCTGTGCTTTCCTCGTAGACAAGAGGTATCATGGGCTTCAGGCATGTGCACCCAGCAGCTCGGAGCAGAGCCCCAGCAGTGTGCATGTGAGCAAGCGGCAGGAAGAGTAGGGTAAACATCAGAATCGGTTGTTATTCCATCTGGTGCTAGCACCAAAGTGATGGTGGTACCACCGCCACCAGCCTGGTGATGTTGCTGTGAGGGCAGTGTCCTGAGGCCACCGCAGAACATAGGTGCCAGCTGCCCCATGTTCCAGCACACAGAGCCATCGTGCTGCTGCAGAGGGGTGGGACCAAGGAAGTGCTGCACACTCTCAGGTCTCGCACGCGCCCGCCTGGGGCTCGGCAGCATCATCCTGCTGGGGAGCTCCTGCAGCATTGACCGGGTGCCGTGTGGGAGCTTGGGGGAACAGGGGCTCCTTGCCTCACAGCACCAACGTGGACAATGCCAGGAAGTTGATGGCACGGGATCAATAAAACCTGAGAAAGTATTATTTAAAACTCCCCAGAAAATCCATGCACATGTGCTCCTCTGACGAGCAGCTGAGGAGGTTAGGCTTGTCTAGTTTGGAGAGCAGGATGCTCTGCAGTTTCCAGAGGAGGGGATATGGAGAGGGAGGTGCTGAGCTCTTCTCACTGGGAACCAGTGTCAGGAGGCATGGGAATAGTTTAAAACTGTGTTGGAGAGGTTCAGACTGGACATCAGGAAGCATTTCTTTCCCAAGAGGATGGTGAGGCTCTGGAACAGGCCTCCTGGAGAGGTGGTCATCGCCCTAAGCCTGTCAGTGTTCAAGGGACATTTGCACAAAGCCCTTAACAGCAAGCTTCAGCTGGGCCAGCCCTGCATTGCTCCGGCTGTTGGACTAGATAGAAGATGGTTGTTGTAGGTCTCTTCCAACTGAAGTCTGGAAAGTCCATTCCATTCCATTCTATTCTATTCCATTCTATTCTATTCTATTCTATTCTATTCTATTCTATTCCATTCCATTCCATGCCATTCCATTCCATTCCAGTTCCAGTTCCATTCCGCCCGTTCCCCGCCGAGCGCCGTGGGCCGAGCCCTGCGACGCCACCTGCTGGCAGGCCCCGCGCATGGCCGCGCCCCGCCGGAGCGGTTCGGGTGTGCTCGGGGGGCGTCGGTGGCGTTTGTCCGCGCGCTGCTGGTGTTTCAAACGCCCGTCACTACGAGAGGGGAAACAAGCGACCCCGACCGCCACCACAGGGGCGAGGAACAGAGCAGCCTCTGCCTCGGGCAGTGACTTGCCTCGGAACCCCGACCGTCCTGCGCTGGCCACGCAGTGATCCCGCCCGGCATCTGCAGGGATTACTGGAGAACAGCCTGGGCTTGGCAAAGCTAAACCACAGCTGGCCCGCTGAACTGTGGGGCTGTCTTCTGTGAGCTGAACTGGGAACGGGGAGCGAGCTCCTAAAAGAGGTCACAGAGACCAGAAGCAACAGGGAACAACATAAACCCCACAGCCAAACACCCGGCAAACAGCAACACCATCCAGGATAAAAACAAATGAAGGAACATGGTTTTTCCATGTTGTTCACCTCAGACCAATGGCTAAACATCAATACCTAGAGTCCTGCATGCAGGAGCACAAGCATTTCATCCTTAGGCTGTGGCTGCTTGCATCCTCACTGAGGAACCCGTGAGCTGTGAAGCCACGAGCAACACAAATAAATGTTGTGCAGACCAGTTACTTCAGCCAGTACTGAGGCATTTCTGAGCAATTCCCAGTAGCATTTTCAGTGGGCTCAGCTGGGTTTGCTTTAGGTGAAATGCTACCATCTGCTACAATTACATAGTTACTCTTTATAGTTCAGGCTTAATGATGCTTATTGAGGTTGAGTGTTTTTGTTGGCTGAGTCCTGTCACCAGCTTGGCACGGAATGGCAAAGGCAACTCTAAGGGCTGTAGTTTGAGGCATAATTAGCAATATGTGAGCATTTCACAGGGGCATGGGTGACGGAAGGATGTGGTGGGAGCTCTGCTTTATTCTGTGCTGAGGCTGCAATGCAGGAAACAGAAGAGGTCTGTTCCATGGGGGTCAACAATAATAAGCAGGCGCAGAGGTGTGGCAAGTTTGAACATCTGTGTGTCAGATCCCTGTCACCCACTGCTGGCTGTGTCACTTCTGTTTCCTCAGCCATGGAGGAAAAGGACCAGGTTCAAAAACTATGTGGCTTAATTAATCTGTGCATGTAAGACCCCTAAAAGATGAGGTTGTGATGCCCTGAAAGTGTGTAACCACTGTTCATGCTGTGTTTAACCCCGGCCATTCTCTGGTGGGTTTGTTCGAGAGGGATGTGTGTAATTCCTGCACCGTTTCCCATGAGCTACCTCCCATACTCCGAAAGGGGGACTCAGCACCTCACATACACATAAAAATGACCCGCACCACACTGTGTGTTACAATCTTCCATAACCCAACAATTTATTTAAACTTACATCACAAGGAGAATCTATTAATAAAATACATCAGTTCACACCAGTCTGCATTGCCATTTTTTAAGGGTAAGCATCTTTCTTCACTTTATATTAAAACTTTATAGAGGTAAAAACTACTGCATTGTACCCGCAGTTCTGGAAATCTAGTGTAACATCAGGCAGGTTACAGAGGAACTTTCAGAGCTGATTACACTTCAGTTAACCTCACGTTTTTGGCACATCTGAATGCTTTTTAATTTCTTCTTAACATAAAATAACTCTATAGCAAGTCAGAGAATCATTGACATAAAAGCATCACTATCCAATGGCAAGTGCTGCCAAAAAGCATACAAAAATTGCATCATTTGGTTACAAAATAGATACTCTTAGTTCTTTACCCCAAGGCTTAACATCGAAGTGCTGCGACAGAAAAGGGCCAGGACCAGGGCCAGCCTTGCCGAGCTGCTGCTGGTCACTTTGCTGCAAGGCTTTGCTTCCCTAAATCCCAGGGTGATGTGCTAACAAGGTGCCGGTGGCTTTCGCCTTGCCAGCGGAGGCTTCTACAGCACCCTCCCACAGGAGAGGGTCCGCGGGTCCATGTCACCTCCTCCTCAGGAGTGCTGCTCGAGGGACCCGGTGCACACATACAGAGCGGTGCTCAGGAGGGGCCGTGCTCCTGCACTGGTGGCCTTGGCACTGTGGTGGCTGCAGGTCCTGCGGTGAAGCACACAGAGCCGCTGCTCCGGCCGGGCTGCTCCTGCCTGGCACTGCGGCAGCTGCTGCCGTGCAAGTGTAAGCAGGAACAGATCACTGACGGTAGTGCTGGGCCAGGCACGTATTTGCACAAGTATCTGCAGTTGTCTTCACCTGCTTGCTGTGGGTTTGGGTGCTTTTTGTCATACACCACGAACTCCAGCTGCTGTGAGCTTTTGGTGTTCTATCCAAAGTAAAAAGCAGCCCTTGGTGCTTGCAGCCGGGGTTAGTTTTTCCCTGGCTGTTGAGCTGTACTGTTCCGATCGGTTTGGCACATGAACTAGTCATTGGTTTATGTTTCACTGGTGGCAGGCTCCACATGCTACTGTTCAGTGAGATGGCTATTGCATTGGTTCTGTCCCTTCTGCTCATGTTGCTCTGGCAGAAACAAAGAAATAGGAGTGAATTGCTGCAGTTCAGGAGAGACTGATGTAGCAGATGTAGCACTTCTGAGCTTTCTGGTTGCAGGAGAGCTGGATGGTCACTTTTCTTTAAAGGAAAATGAATGCTGATAGCTGCATTCTGTGCATCTTCCCAAAGCTCTGGTCAAACAAAATCTCCTTTTTCTTGATTCAGCTCTCCTACTACTCCTTTGCTGAAGCCCCTTGTCTGAAATCCTTTCTGCTGAGGCCAGTGAGCATTCCCAAAAAGAGCTCAGGGCTGATAGGAATCCTCCTTGCCTACCTCCCCTAGAGAAACTGAAGAAAGGACCTGAATACTTGCTGTGTTACGGAAAGAAAGAAAGCACACTGATAGTGGACCAGTGGTTGATGGGATGTTTGAAACTTACAGAAGAGAAACAACAAGGTATCCATGGTACTCTTCGCATGTAACTTACTGACCCGGAAAGGTGGCCCTGACAAAAACCCTCCAAAAACCAAACTCGCTCACAAGTCAGTTTTTGCCTCACATCCGTGGTGAGAATTCAGCCCTGCACCTATTCCCATTTCCTGTTCAGCACTGGCTCTGAGCACAGCCAAAGCTGGTGGGAGTCCTTTGGGAGGCACCAGTGCAGGGCACGGAGCAGTGCGGATGGAGGAGCTTTGGCTGAACCGGTCGCTCTGCACCAGAGGCAAGAACAGGGTGGGATGGAGCTGCGACACCTCTCCTTGTGCAGAGAAGAGAGTGCTGCTGCAGTGGATAAAGCCAGCTCGATACCTTCACCCGGGTATAGTGCAACTTCTGCTCATGTAAAGCGCTGTGGGAAGTAGCCAGCTGCTTGGTATAGAGTGTGGATGAAGAGGCAGCTACAGCCCAGCTTTCACCCCTGGCTCCTGGGGCAGGAAGGGCTGTTCTGCTGCGGGTGTTACCTTCTGGCACCAGCAGAACGTTCATGCTCTTTACAACCTCTGCAAGTTAAAGTGTCGAGGCGCAACAAACTATGTAGCAGTGCATTCCTTATATTTCATGTACAAAAAAGGGCTCAAGGCTGGGAGCAAGAAGGCACAAACTTGGGAAATAACATAGCTGAGGAGTTTACACAAAAGTACTATGTCATTTATTAGGCATTACTTAGCACTTAGTTCACATTTTGCCCCCAAATTTCCCAAAGCAACACGTTTCCCCACTTCCTTTCCCTTCGTCCCCTTCTTTTGGATAAAGCTGCCTGTGCTCTATAGATACAGTTGCTGCAGAATATAATGTGAACACAGATAAATACAACATACACAGCAAAAAATGTAGTATAGTATTACAATAGTCAAATAATGTCGTTAGCCTCAAGCTGCGGCAGTGCCTATAGGGAACCAGTTCAAGAGGAGCAAGCGGAGCCACTGTACAGGAGCAAACAGCATCGGCAGTGTCAGGCAGAGCGAGGGACTGAGGGGACGCTTCCTCAGGGAGCCTGGGCAGGATGGATGGATGTCGGGAATCACGGGATCTGCTCTCCTGGGACACCCAGCCAGCGCCTCGGAGACTCCTCCAGCCCAGATCAGTCCTGTGGCAGGTCCTTGGAACACCTTTACATCGGGTCACTGTGTGCACACCTGCAGTCACCCCACATTTCTCCTTTAGGCTAGGTTTGCTTTAGAATCTTTTTTTTTTAACTTTTAACTTTTGATTTTTTTTTTTTCTTACAACTGTTAGAAAAGTTTCATGGTAAAAATAGCTCACTATATGATACATATACCCAAAGTGGTGCGATACTTTATATAATAAAAGATGAAAATAGTCACTTTCCATAATAAAAATAAGTTCTATTTTTTGCTTATTTTACAATATACTTAATAATTCTTTTCTTCTTCTTCACTCTGAAAGTAAATAGGTCCCATTTTGATAGCGCTTCTGAGTCGATTAAAGTGGCAAGAGACTGGAGAATGGCTTATAAGCACTTGGAGCAGCCGCATTCCACATGTCTCTCCAGTTCCTCCGTGAAGGTGGAGCCATCCATGCACTGGAAGAAGTATTTCCGCCGCTTGCTGCGGAGGGGCACGCAGCACTGCCCGCTGCCGCACGCACCGCGGCACTCCAGGCGTGGCACTTTGGAGGCAGTGGCACACGACGTGTAGCCCTGCTGCTTACGGACAACTTCCCGGATGATGTCTCCTTGGCAGAGGTTCTCTGCAAGGCAACAGAGATGGGAAGGAAACAACATGTGGTAACTATTGCAGCAGGTATTCCCCAACCACCAGCCAGCAGCCCTGCACTTGTAATGATGTTCAAGGCAAACAGACTGCATGAGAAGCACCTTCAACTTTTACTGCTTCGGACCTGCCATCAAACCTGAGCTGGTGTTACACAAATGTGCAATATCCGGCACAAGGCAGAGGCCTGCTCGCCTTGATCAGCACTTCTGGAAGTGCTCTAATGAATGCTGAGTGTTGAATCCTGCAACACTCCTGCAAAATATGGATTAGCTGGACTATGTCTGCTTCTCAGGCTCACGGGTCAGCCTGCTCCACATGGCGTTAGCGATGTGGGATACCCAAAAATGTGTGTGCTGTTCTGCAGTCACTGTGCAGCAGCCACATTCTGGTGGGGCTGTGTCTGTCTGTAATTTGGGAAGTTTGTGGTTCATTCACAGGAAAGGCACAGCCGGAATAAAACTAATACAAGCCAGCTCCTTCCTTCTGTACAGGAACACAGAAAGGCAGAAGGGATGAAGCCAGGACTCCCTGAGTTCCCAGGGAGCTTTTTCAGGTCAGGGCAGCACAGCTGGGCCCTCAGCAGAGCTGGAAAGCCCAGCATGATCTGTGGGATTCCCCAGGAAACCCACCCAGCTGCACAAGGGAGAGCAAGCTGGGAATCTTTCCTGCCACCTCGGGTGAGCAGTACCTCCCTGGTGTGCAGGCTGAGACCTTTCCCAGCACTGCAATTAACCGATCCCTGCTGGCTGAGAGTAAACCTTGCAACAACCTCTCCTTCAAACATCCCCCAGGATCCTGGGAGCAGCAAGCCTTGAGGATTCGGGACACAGAGAATTAGACTCTTCACTACCCATGTCACCCTTTACATACATTTGGATAGCAGCTCGCTAGCTATTGTGTGCATCTTTCCTCCCCCCCCTATTGCCCTGCAGAGGCTGACTTGGCTTCATCTTCCACTATTTGCCATTTACCCCTAAATACAAGTCACATGGATGAGAGGCAAAGCCAAAGGTGTGACCCAGAGCCATACATACCTCTGTCGCAGTGCTCCCCGCTGTAGTTGGGATCACACTCGCAGTAGGGCTCCCCATGCTCTGACACTTTACACTGTCCATGGTTGCACTTCAGAGTCCTGCAGGGATTTGAGGAATTGTTCTTCTTGTCACAGTACATGCCTGTGTAGCCCTCCATGCACTTACAGGTGTAAGCAACATTGGCCACAATGCACTTACCGTGCAGACACCTGGAGAAAGAGAAGCATTTAGAGCTGGCCTGTGTTAGCTGAGGCAGTTCCTGTTCCCAGGGAGGTTTGATTTTGGCATTTCTGCACACGTCATTCCAGGATACTAATCCAAAACTAGCAGTTCAGTGTCAAGCACTCTGAAGAAACTGTGAGTTTTCAGGGAATCCTGGATAATGTTCAGAGAATACATTTAGGATTTGTGATCCTACGCGATCTCTTTGGGAACCATCAGGCTGCTCCGCGAGCATGGACCAACGCTTGGCATCCCCATGAGACAACTCACATCTACAGCACCACGCGTGGAGCTAAGTGCTGACAATCAAGCTGCATGCCCAGGCTTCCTTAGCAGAACTGCTCTACAAATACTATCAGGTGATGAAAAGCAGTGTGATAAATGAAGGTGCCTGTGGAAAAGCCAAGTGCAGGCTTCCTGATGGGCAGCTGTACCTGAAGGGTTCCCTGGCTCACGTGGTTTGCAGGGAGCTCTGGTGTTCCTGAGGAATGCCACAGGGAGGATGTTGGTCCTCAGCAAGTTCTGACACCACCCCACTTCGGGGACAGGGACAGACCTGAAACGGGCTGAGGACAGAGAAGAAGGCAACACTGCCCAGCCAGGGAGAAACTGCTCAGGGCTTGTAAACCTTTGCGGTATCAGGCCCTACTTGACGTGAACCCATGTCTTCCTCTTATTTTGGTTTGTTTTCTTTCTGGTACTTTAAAATTGTTCTCTGCTTATGTTGAATCCCTGTACACAAATCACTTTAAGCTTTGAACTAAAAAGCACAAATAATAAAAGCAGTTTCAGACAGGTCAAGACATGCAAAGTAATAAAGGCAGTCACAGTCTATATAAAGCAGGATTTTCTGCCTCACTAAACAAAGGCATGCTTGGGTAGTAACTCTTGTTACCATCAGCTAGTCACCTTTCCTCTCCGAGTGCTGGAGCAGACAGTGCAGCTGGGCACCACACTGCCCTCCACACAAAGGGCTTAGCTTTAAGGAGGCAGCTCCAAAAGGCTGAAGTGATGTAATGAAAGGTGGAACAGTATGTGATCATTAACAATACGCACAGCTACTTTTCCTTGAGAGAACCAATCTCTCATCACATAAACATCTGGAACTCCTTTATTTTTCTCTGTCCAACCAAAACATGTTGATGTTGATGTTGGAAATTCAAGGAGACATTTGGGTCTCTGAGTGTTTCTTCACTTGTGTCTTCATATTTGGTCTGTAAACTGTCAGGTGCTTCTCAACACCTTCCAGGGTTCTGTACTTTGCAGAACTAGACCCAGAAGCAATTTAACTCTGCCAAGTTAAATTTCTGCCATGAAGAGGGTGATTATTCACGGTGTCAATTTACCTGTCAAAAGTAGGTGCTTGTGAAAAGCTCCTTCCACCAATAGTGCAACCAAAGAAGCTTCTAAAACAAAAGTACTTCCATCTGCTTGTGGAGCTGCCCACTGCTCTGTGTCAGAGCATTTCCTCCAGTGCTTGCCATAAGTAAGCTATTTACCCAGTGTCTCTGATGGATGTGGTTACTGAGCCTTTGAACTGTGAATGCTTTACACTCCCGCTCCCTTTGCATATGACCCCACGCTATCCTTTAAACTTGCATTTTAAAAGGGTGTTTCAGAGTGCAGTATTTAGAATTGTTCATGTTGGAGCCAATGACAGTGCTCAGGGCCTGAAGCTGCTGTGAGCATACCCCTATAGCATGACCCTCCACCTCACAGGCAGCTCAGCACCTCAGACGTGAGCCATGCCCATCAACAGGAGGCTTTGTATTTGAATGTGGAGTCCCAGCTGAAGGCATGGCCTGCAGTATTAGCACCTGAGCTCCTCCAGGACATCTGCTCATCTGCAGAACAAGCAGCATCAGAACAAGAAGTGGAAGCTGAGAGTTGCCACGGGGGCTGACTCACAACTCCATGCGTGAACCCAGCACCTCCAAAAATAGCCAGATGTGGGTTTGTAAGATGAAATGTAAAACACACATTAGCTGTAAAGCATCCGCCCTCCCAGCAGCATTAGTTTGAGCTTACCTGTGGTTAAGACACGGGTCTCCAGTCTCCTGGTCACACAGGGGGCCCGTCCAGCCTGGGTGACATTCACAGATCACACTTGCTTTCTCCAGGGACCGGCAGATGCCGTGCTTGCAGATGTTGCAGGACTTGCAGCCAGGAAGGACTCCCAGGGACTGCTGTGGTAAATCCTTGAAATCCTGCAGCTCGTTGTTGATGCGGACATCGTGGATACAGCCATGGAAACCGTTCGGTGTCTTATCTGCACCCTGGCGCAGCGATGACAAGCCAGAGGAGGTTGGGATCCCTTCAGAGAGAGACATAAAGGGAAGGTTTGCTCACAGTTACAAGGGCAGTACAGAAACTGTAATTGCTAACGTTACTTTTGTCACAGGATCTTTAAAGAACTAATTTGCACAGGACCTCTGTAAGGTAGCAAAGACTCATTGTCCTCATTTTGCTAATGGAAATAAACAAAGGATACAGCACCACAGATCATGGCATTGAGACAGGGAGTGGAAAGAGTCCACCCCATCAAAACCAGTGCAGGAGAACTCTGGAGACAGGAAACAACTTTAGGAGGCCAGGCCAAGCCTTTGTGCTCTCCATCCTGCTCCAGCGCTTGAAAGAATTCCCATACTGAGGTGGCCAGCAGGTTCTTTAGGATGTTTTCTCCTCCCCACTGACATCCCCTTAGGCTGCACTAGCATAAAATCCCAGACTGGTTTCGGTTGGAAAGGACCTTAAGATCACCCAGTTCCAACTCCTGCCACGGGCAGGGATGCCTCACAATACAGTGCCTGATGAAGAGTCCCTCTCCACATCCCTGTAGCCCCTTTCAGACACTGGAAGCTGCTCTGAGGTCTCCACGCAGCCTTCTCTTCTCCAGGCTGAACAGCCCCAACTTTCTCAGCCTGTCTTCATACGGGAGGTGCTCTAGCCCCTGATCACCCTTGTGGCCTCCTCCAGACTTGCTCCAATGGCTCCATGTCCTTCTTATGCTAAGGACACCAAGAATTTGCTATCCATAAGTGACTCCACTGTTAAAGGTGGTCTTAAAACAAGCCAGAATCTTTGTTTAAGTGTGTGATAGGAGGAAAGTTGCTAAACCAGGTGATGTAGTTGGAGACGGACCAAACTGGGGGTATGTGAAAGCCCGGGTGTCTTGAAGCTGAGTGTATGATGGGAACAACTGCTCTGGGGTAGTGCAGTTACTTTAATGGACCAGTCTCCAGCGGGAGGGCAGCTTCTATCTCTGGGTATGCTGCACACAGACCAGTGGCATATGCAGCACAGCGAGGGTTTAGAAAGAAGCAAGAAGGATTTTAATGGGCAACCAAAGAAGTCTCCACTGAGCCCTTCTGGAACCCAGCAGTCCTTCACTTCAGGTCTCAGGTTCGTCCTGTGAATGCATTTTTTGTAGGACCCTTTTGAGAATCAGTATTGATCCACAGAGCTCATCCATTAACAAAACTTTTCCACGTGGTTACTTCCAAGTTCCCTGTGGCTAAATTGCTGTTGGTATCTTTTATGCTACGCTAAAGGGAGAAATTGTGATGGCCTCATCAGCAAATCACCTTTGATGCATAATGCTCTTTAGCAGCCTATAACATTCTCAGTATGAGCCCATTATCAAGGTTCAGCTCTGTACAAAGTAAGATAAGCCACAGTTCTGATTTACAAGGGCAATATTCAGGGTTCCGTTATGAAAGTGTTATTAAGGGGAATTATATACAAAAGGCTTGACCAGCACCAAGTGAGGTTTATAACAGTTTCTACTGTTGGCTTCAATGAATTTCTTGGAAAAAGACCAAAGACCTTCTGAGTCTATAATTGTTCTGCTGACTGTTGTATTTAGAATTGGCTGACTAAAAGTTCAAGAACTCCATGTCACTGAAAGGGACAGATATCAGCATTCAGTCCAGAACAGAGCTGGAGAAGGGGGTGGCTGACGAAGCCAAGCCAACTGGGCAGAGGACAGCCTTCACTCTGTCTCTCATATTCGCACACCTAATCTGTGGGATACTCATTATTCTGGACATCTGTTCCCCATCCCACTTGGCCTCGCCTTCCCCCCACATTCAGTACTGAATGTGAACAAACTTCTTAACTGAAGTTTGGTCAGTTCTGAGATCTTTCTAATACTGGAGCTCTGGCTTCAGTTTCCAATGAGATAACTACAAGCCAAGTTCTCAGTCAGCTTGCGCTTATGTGTATTAATTATATGGTTTGGAGGTTTTAATCCCATTCCCACCTCTCCCTCTTTTTTATCCTGTATAAAATGCCCAGCAGCAATACCACTCATTTATGGTATATATATAAACCTACTGACTACTGAGCTGCTTTTTTTTGCTGTATCTGTTTGTGATACTTTAATTGTATTCTTCAACCACCACATCTCGGTGCCAGCCAGTTCTGAAAGCTTTAGAAATGACAAACTGTTGTCACCATAGCTGTATAGCCCAGGAGCTGCCAGTGCGGAAGTCAACTTCCCTGCTCTGTGGTGAGAGCTTGTGCTGCTGTGTGCTGGGGCACCCATGGACTGTGGAGCCAGAAGCAGAGCAGCAGAGATGTGGATTCCAGGCTTCTGTTCAGGGAAGCAGCCTCTGGCAGAGGGAACAGCAAAATGCTGGTTTCTCCCCGCCTGGAGAGTCCCCTCCATAGGCTGGAAGATGATTTGCTTCTGGGAAGACGTGTTACAACCTCAAGGTCTAGAGCAAGCCACTGTACCTCCAATGTAGAGTGGTGTGTTGAGGCTGACTGAAGACTGCTTCTGGAGTTTCCCCAGACTCTTGGGAGTCCCCTTGTCCACCACCAGGTTCAGAGTCTGATTCAGCATCACGAGCTCCACACTATGAAACTGCCCATCGTTTACTGTTTCCACGCTAAAAGTAAAAGAGAAAAAGAGAATTAGATGATGTTAATAATGAACAGCCTCTCTCCTGTGCCATCCTGCTACTACACCTTGCAAGGCACAGCTCCCATTCCATGCTCCTTCACAGTCACTGTGTTCTCAAGGTTTCCTCTAGTGTGAATCTTCAAGGTACAAATCTAAACACCACTGATGCAGGCATAAATACCACTGTGCAGGCAGTACCTCCACATATACAACACTCAAGAAAACAGCAACCAGGGGAACAGCTACTGCAGTTCTGCTTCCCAGGGCAGGAAGCCCAGTGCGTAGCTACAGGATATCTTGGCTTTGGTGACAAAATGAGTGACAATGCCCTGTTGCGTGCTCTCAGGCACAGCTTGCCATCCTCTGCCACACTGCCCATGTTGCAGGCTGTATCACTCAAATGATTTCCTCTTGCATGGTTACACTTGGAGCATTTACCAGAGCAGGGGGGCTGCAGCTTGGGCAGGAGACCGGGGGGGCCACTGAAACCAGCATTTCCTGAAGTATCTTGTAAGCATATGCTGAGGTGTAAGGAGGGGCTGAGCTTCTTAGAGCCAGAGAAGGAATTCAGGAGGTTTTGGCTTACAAATGGTGGGGTACTTTGACGAACAAAAGGGTGCTGGAGAGGGACTCTTCCTCAGGGACTGTAGCGATAGGAGCAGGGGTGATGGGTTCAAAGTGAAACAGGGCAAGTTCAAGTTAGATATAAGGAAGAAGTTCTTTCCTGTGAGGGTGCTGAGGCGCTGGCACAGGGTGCCCAGAGAAGCTGTGGCTGCCCCATCCCTGGCAGTGTTCAAGGCCAGGTTGGACACAGGGGCTTGGAGCAAGCTGCCCTAGTGGAAGGTGTCCCTGCCCGTGGCAGGGGTTGGAGCTGCATGAGTTTTAAGGTCCCTTCAAACACAAACCATTCCAGGATTCTAATAGAAGAGTCCTACCTGAATGCAAGGAAAACTCACAAGTTGCTATTCCTCTTTGAGGACCATTTTAGGTGGAGTTTGAGTCTTGAGAATAATACAGCGGGGACTTCTGGGGGCAGAGGGAGCAGGAGACCATCTGAGCAGACAAGATATTAAAGATGCCCTGTATTTACCCCTCAGGTGTTTGTAACACTGATTTTCCAATGCATGGAGCCTGTGGTGAGTCAGATAACTCAGCAGCTCTTTGTTAGTCTGCACCACATACAGTGTTCACCTTCACCCTCAGCTCAGGCTCCCCGAAACCAAAAGGTGCAGTGATACGATTTAATTTGCATCACACCATCATGTGTTTATTTTCAGGGCAGCTACAGCTTTCTGGCCTTTATGCTGCCTGTGGAAATGCTCTAAACCAACCTGATACCTTCATGTGCTGATAAAAGCAGGGAGGGGCAAGGGTGGGATTACCTGCTCTTGAGCAAGGAGGGGTTCATACTAGGCTGGCAGTTATAGATGTGATGGGACTTGTCCACTGCTGTAGAGGTAATTGAATGGTGCAGCCTCTGCTCCAGGCACATGCAAACACCAGTGCATAATAAGGATCTAATAGCAGTAGCAGTTACAGCCAGAATTAGCCCGTGGGCTATGTAAACTGCCCCCACACATGGTGCTGCCAACACACCTTCAGCCTGGCCTGCGAGCACCCTCTGCCAAATGCCTCCCAGCAGCTGGGTGGTGGTTCTGTAATGCATGGGTAGAGACAGAAAGCACCAAATGTGGGATTTAGGCATCCTGAGATCCTGCTTAACCAACAATATGGATTTGGGATCACTGCACAAGTGGTAAGTACCATATTAAAATGCAAAAGGTTAATATTAAGAATGGGTTTCTGTTTATTCCAATGGCCTGTAAGCTCAGCATTGTCTCAGTAAGCTGCAAAGCCACAGGTCTGGTTCCACTGGGGTGTTCTGTAAAGCTCCAGCACAGATGTCTCAGCTATTTTCCCAGCTTTTCCTTCCTATCAGTGAGAGGAACAGGCACACTTAAGGAGTCACTCATCTCTAGGGATGAAACCACCATTAAGATGTGTCTACCTCTTAACCTAGATGACACGCTGCCCCTCTGTAGTGCCCAGTCCTGCATAACTGATGTGCAAAGCTTTTGTAGCATGTGAATAGGCCCTCAGCTTCAGAAACAAATTACATGACATGGAATTTACTGGAATTCAGTTGTTTCTGGAAGAAGTCTCGTTTTTCAAGTGTTTTTCAGTAGACCTGACACAACCAATTATACATGAGCAATGTCAGGCAGCGAGGCAGCTCCGCAGGCGTTTCTGAGGGTGTGCTTGTCCAAGAGTGTGCTGCTGTTCCAGATCTGAGCTAACAGTGCTGCTGCCCCACAGGTTTTGGGACAGATCATGAGCACAAATGCCTTTAAAGGTTTACATAAGACTGCACAAGCTATAAGCTGGCAGCAGTGTGTGAGCACCTTCACTGTGCACCTTCACATAACCCTGAGGCTAGCTCTGTCACAGAAGGGGAAAGCTCAGCTGGACAAACTGCAGGACAGTGGCTGCTGCCTGTCCTCAGGGTGTTGAGGGACCCCAGGAGCCCGGCCTAGGTAGCCTGGAGCTGCTGGTGCCGTGTGAAGTGTTTTCAGGTGACCTTGCACAAAATCCAGGTGCAGTGATCCTGCAGCCTGCCTCGGAGCGCAGCTCTGCCAGGCACTGCAAGCACGGAACTGTGTGGCTGGGGCAGGGGGCTGAGGACTGACCCATTGCCCAGGGTGACCCAGCGGGTGTCACCACCGCATGCTGCGGGGCCCACACCTCCTGCAGGATGCTTCATTCAAATGAATTTGGGAACAGCCAGTCCAGACATTCTGTTTGGATATTCCTGAACCCTGGTAAGTATCTGTCGTGTTACATGGAACAGCTGTGTAAGGGTAGTATGCCGACGGGTGATCCCTGGGTGATCCCTGTGTATCCACTGCTGTGTTGCAATGCTGAATTCATAGGAGTGAAGTACTTCCAGCTGAAAGGTGAGAGATAAGTGGAAAAGCCTATTTGTGACTGTTGGTCTGTGCAGAAGCGCCAGTGAAAGGATGAAGCACAGCCAAACTCCACGAGTGTGTGAGCTGAGCACTGCAGAGGGGAATGGATGTGTGCAACAGGGAGCCCTTCCTGCTGGGATCAAGAGCTGAAGCTCACACACAAAACTCCATCGTTATCTGCAGAGGGCCAAGCTGTGACCATGTGTCAAAAGATAACACTATCATGTCTGGCAGCGCTGGCTCTTCCTAAGGCCAGGATTTCACTGGCATTAATCTCCCACTCCTCCGCAGCATGTGTGTTTCCCAGATTATGCCTTGACCAACAGGCAAACACAAGTGTGTGTGTCCCGATGGCAGCAGCCACTCCACATGAGGCCCCAGCCTGTCATCATCCCCATGGCAGGGGTTATGCTGGGAAGGAGCTGGTACATGTGCAGGGGTGTTAATTCTGACTCTTGTAACTGGGAGTTACAACAGTCTGTGCCTGGTCTCCGAGAAACAATGTGATTTACAGCCATCACCCGCACTGCAGGTTTGTAAAGCAGATAAAGTCCAAGCAGGCAAAGCACTCATTTGCTTTCCAAGACAACGCAAAGATACGATAGAAAAGCTGAACGTGGACAGCCAGGATGGCAGAGACTCCCCAGCCAGGAGACACTTGTGTCACAGCACTTCTGGCTGTTGCTGACAGAAAGATATTCAGATGCCTTTGGATTTTGACAGAGGAGACAACACTGAGGGAGAAACCAGTGCTGAGAGAGATGCTACATGAACTCTCCTTGGAGCCTCCTCTGCAGCCGGGCCTTTAGGAGACTCGGCAATCGTCTGAGACAGTTGGAGACAGTGGCTTGGCTGGAGATGAAGGGAGGAAAGCCACAGACATTGAGCAGTGCATCACCAGGCAGCTCTTAGCACAAACTGCTGCGCTCGGCTGGATTTTCAGGGGGCCTCTTCCTGACCCAGCATTCTGCAAGGGGTTTGCTGAAGTCTTGCTGGGGATCAGGTGGGTGTCACGGAGCCCTTCCTCCTGCAGCACCCTGAGGTGTGTAAATACCTGCCTCCGAGGAGGTCCATCAGCAATCTGCACAGTGCCAGGGGCTGTGGGGTGACCTGATGAGCTGTGACTCAATAGGTTGTGACCCAGTGGGCTGTGAGTTGATGGGCTGTGATGCGATGTGTTGTGACCTGATGGGCTGTGAACTGGTGGCTGTGTCCTGATGGGCTGTGACCCAATGGGCTATGACTCGATGGGCTGTGACCTGATGGGCTGTGACCCGACGGGTTGTGACCTGATGCGCTGTGACCCAGCAGCTGTGACTGGGTGGCTGTGACCCAATGCGCTGTGTCCCGATGTGCTGTGACCCAATGTGCTGTGTGCCTGATGCACTGTGTCCCGATGCGCTGTGACCCGATGTGCTGTGTCCCGATGCACTGTGTCCCGATGGGCTGTGTCCCAATGGCTGTGACCCGATGTGCTGTGTCCCGATGGGCTGTGTCCCGATGCACTGTGTCCCGATGGGCTGTGTCCCGATGGGCTGTGTCCCAATGGCTGTGACCCGATGTGCTGTGTCCCGATGCACTGTGTCCCGATGGGCTGTGTCCCGATGGGCTGTGTGCCTGATGTGCTGTGTCCTGATGTGCTGTGTCCTGATGCGCTGTCTCCCGATGCGCTGTGTCCCGATGGGCTGTGTGCCTGATGTGCTGTGTCCCGATGCGCTGTGACCCGATGTGCTGTGTCCCGATGCGCTGTGTCCCAATGGCTGTGACCCGATGGGCTGTGTCCCAATGGCTGTGACCTGATGTGCTGTGTCCCGATGGGCTGTGACCCGATATGCTGTGTGCCTGATGTGCTGTGTCCCGATGCGCTGTGTCCCGATGTGCTGTGATCCGATGGGCTGTGTCCCGATGTGCTGTGACCCGATGGGCTGTGTCCCGATGTGCTGTGACCCGATGTGCTGTGACCCGATGGGCTGTGTCCCGATGTGCTGTGACCCGATGGGCTGTGTCCCGATGTGCTGTG